CCCTTTTTGGGGTTCGCACAGCTTTGAATTTGCGCGCAAACTTTGAGATGGGGCTCTCCTCCAATGCGCATTGCTCCTTCGGGCGGGATTCTGGGCTCCTCTAGGCGGGAGCTGGGCTCCTCTAGGCGGGGCCCGGCTGCAGGAGGGGCCGCTGGAGGGGAGCCGCTCTCCAATCAGGAGCCCGGAGGCCCCTGACGCTGCGTCACGGCTCCACCGGATTTAAACCCGGTCCTTCTCTCTATAACGGTCATATCCACTTTTCTCCTCGTCAGACAAGCATTCCACAATGGCCAGGACCAAGCAGACCGCCCGCAAGTCCACCGGAGGCAAGGCCCCCAGGAAGCAGCTGGCCACCAAGGCCGCCCGCAAGAGCGCGCCGGCCACCGGCGGCGTGAAGAAGCCCCACCGTTACAGGCCCGGAACCGTGGCCCTGAGGGAGATCCGCCGCTACCAGAAGTCCACCGAGCTGCTCATCCGCAAGCTGCCCTTCCAGCGGCTGGTCAGGGAGATCGCGCAGGACTTCAAGACCGACCTGCGCTTCCAGAGCTCCGCCGTCATGGCCCTGCAGGAGGCCAGCGAGGCCTACCTGGTGGGGCTGTTCGAGGACACCAACCTGTGCGCCATCCACGCCAAGAGGGTCACCATCATGCCCAAAGACATCCAGCTGGCCCGCCGCATCCGCGGGGAGAGGGCTTAAGCCGTCCGGGCTGCGCAAGCGCAACAAAAAAAAGGCTCTTTTAAGAGCCACCGAACCCCATTTAAGAGCTCTTCCTATTCAAAGTAATGTTTGTAGGTCTATCTAGTCTAATTGTTTTAGAGAGAGATATATAGTGCTGGCATCCTCCAAAGGGTCCTGTAGACCTGCAGTAATGGCTGACTCTATCCTTATTTTGTAACATTTCATTTCCCTCTGGGATAAATACTTTAAAAATTTTTTTTTTTAATTTTATTTATTATTATTCCAGTTTCAATGGGAAGTCTTGAATGTGTCTTGGAGCTCATAAATGAGGCTCACAGATGGAAATGTACCAAACAGCTGCATCCCAAAAAAGGGGAACCTTTTTTTCTCTCAGACGTCTCTAAGATTAGCAGAATGACTCCTCATGTCCTGATCTGATCACATTTTATAGGTACACATGGAAGAATTGTTGCATGTCAGATGTGTTCAGGTGGGTTTTGTCTGGATTCAGCAGTTTAGTACATTTATATCTGCATTCATCCCAGAGGGAAATGACTTGGTATTAAATAAGGACATGAGGAGTCATTTCGCTCATCTTAAAGTCTGAGAAAGAGGGTTCCCTGTCCTTTCAAACACTGCATGACAGGCTTTACAGTTCCAGAGCTGAGGCACTCCACCCTGATCACTACAGGAAAACTATCTGAAAAGGTTTTTAGTCGTAGCTTGTACAAATAGATGGATTTTTTCACACCTGATGGGGGTTTAAAATCCCTAAATATTCAGCCATTTCTGCTCCAAAAAGTAGCAGTCCACCTACATAGTTGGATTGGATGGACTTGATCTCTGACTATCTCTGTATTCAGTGACATTTTCAAAGTGTAACCTGACTTTTGGGAGCTCTTAAAGAACTCAGATTACAAAATCAAGGTCATATGGCAAACAAATAAAAGAATAGCTTGAAGAGAGGAGGAAGTGGTGTTACAAATATTACTCATCAATAATATGAAAAAACCCATCTTCCAGAGAAATGGTCTGAATTTTAGACAAG